ATGTGTCTTGAATTATTTATGTGAATTTAATATAATATAATATAAGAAATATAAAATGAATAAGATTTAAACAACAATTGCAACGCGTAATTAAAAAATTCATTCAATAAATCATTTCATTATTGCATTAGAATTAATTAACAAAACGAGAAGTTAAAATTTTCTAATGCATCGAACGTCAGCCATTGGCCCGATAGTGCTTACGTTGAACCATATCAATTCTATGGACACCGTAAGCAATATCGGTTACCGGATCTCACCACGGGGAGGTTGCTGCGTTGGAGATCCATTACAAAATGAAATAAAGGAAATAAATAAATGTACTTGCACGTATACGTATGCAGTTGTACCAGTATTCCACCATTGATTAGTATAATTTCCATGAAACGATGGTGAACGTCTTTYWRAAACGATGGAAACAATGGGATGATTGCATACGCCTTTCTGAAACCATAAAAAGAATGACAGATTATGGTAAAAATCTTTGTGAAACTATAGAAAAATATAAGATCATATAATTTTAATTACAGATCTTCTTACCTAATTTCAATGCATTCACACCATCGATTATGACTGCATTTATCTGTAAATCAAATGAGATTTAATTAGATATCAAATTCTATAATGAAATATTATTTAATTACACGGTATTAAATGTTTAAACGGAAAGCGAAATCGTTACGTCTTACCTGTATCGCGTTCAAAGATTAACTAAGATGTATTGTATGTATGAGTCACCCCGCTCCTAATAAGCATAGCTAGTTGTTCGGCAATGTTTTTCTATGTGTACTTAGATAAAGGACTTCCCGGAATTCGTCGAGGAATATAAACATAGTCAACGTTTGGCCAAGGTTGACTTCTCATTCATCTTCTGTCTTTCTTTCTCTTCATATACATTCAATCGTATGGATCGTTACTGCACATAAAAATAAAAAGTAAATACGCATGTTAGAAAATAAACGCCTACAAATAAAAAACATAAAATAAAAATGTATTCAGTGCTACTTTTTTGTTGACGTACTGTTTTGTATTTTTAAAGATAGACTTTTATTAATTTCTATGTGTCTTTATATTCATTCATTTTGATTGAAATTATTTTAGAAAATAATTATCAAATATGTAATCTTTTGAATTCTTAATAAGTCTAATAGAAATGAATATGCATATTAAAATATATATTAAATGTATTAGATTGCTAGGAAATTTAGATAATCAATAAGTATATTTATGTATATATCAATTATTAGATTAAAATTATTTAAAATAATTGTTAAATTAATATCAAATTTTTGATTAACTAATTGCAATGCACATACCTATTGAAATATCATTAAGACATTATACTATTCCTAAGAATCTAGAATATGTTGAGCATAGAAATGCTGTTTAAATCATTTCTCTGGTAGTGAAATAAATTATATTTTTCCTTAGGGTTGGCTATGTTCTTCATGCGTTGCATCATGTCTAGTTGCATCAAGTGCATCCAAGAGTAAAGAGAAGTCTAATAAGATGATAAATATAACCTGAAAAAATTGAAAAATATTATTAATATATAATATTAAAATTATTAAAATCTGATATGAAATAAAGAATAGGATGAATATATATGCGTAGGCAATGAGGTACTCGAGTGTTTGCATCGTTAAAGAAAAATCGGAAATTAGAGTCAGTGTTGCTCGCCGCATAATAAAATTTCGGTTTCGCGATAAGAAACTCATCTATAGTTTCTTATTTTCGTTCATAACGCGTTATTAGATTCACGCGAGATGCATTACCATGATGCCACTGAGCTTCATCCCATTGGAATGCATTGTAAGTATTCATTTTAATTTATATTATATTCGATTTCATTTTATACGATTTTGGATTGTATTGCAGATAACTTATCGTTATGTTTTATTTTATGTTACAGATAAGACGAAGGATTTTCTTCCCTTTCAATGATATGGAATGAATCTTCGATGGATCTTAGATGGATTTTTGGTGGATCTTCTTCAATACCAAGTGGAGGAACTCTTTGATCGTCAGACTACAATACTTGCTGCAAAGTAGGAGTGTTTTGGAGCCATCACTTCTTACGGAGTGAGTAAAAAAATTTAAAGCCCCTCCGGTGCTCAATCATGTCGARGATGAAAGGTCCTAATCGGCACGAGTTACTGGTTGTAATTAATTAAATAAATTATTGACGAGCACATGAGTAATTCCTTTCCAGGAGTTACTCATGAAAATTATATATTGTAATATATATTGTATTGTATAATTTATATTAGTTCAGGATAGGTTTTCTTGTCTCATCGGTTAAATTCATTTGATTAATAGTGCAATTAATTAATGCACTTCCTTTTTTGTGAGCATTAATTTACTCGATTTCGTACAGAAAAGCATGTAATAAGATTCTTACTTGCATTGCTTCGTACTTAGTTTATTTAATCGCGATTTCTTTTTCGATATAATAAATAAATGAGCAAGAAGACAAACTCATTCGTGACGGATAGATTCTAGCAGTTAAGTGATGGCTCAAAGCCCAGTTCTTTTATTAGAACAGCCAACTTAATGAAAGGAGTCGTCCGAGGTTTTGAAATATATTAAAAGATATTAAAAGTTATTTTTTATCAAATAAATTGTAGAGTCCTTAGCCGCTTAGATGAATTTTTATAAAAATTTATATTTATGTGTTATGTATTTATGTGTTTTTAATCATATTTTTTAGATCAGGATTTTCAGCTTCTTATACACTAATCTCCCGTTACTTCCCCCCATACTTTCTGCGTTCTCATCTATGCGTATGCCCAGGTGTTGCACGTATGGGTGAGAAACAGTTAGTGTGGGTTTAGTTTTAAGTTTTTCCCCTATTGGCGGCTGTTATTGTGCTAGTGGTTGCACGATGTACTTTACACCTGTGTGTGCGTATTAGGTAGAGTGTTTTGTACATCGTTTCGCGATATTTTTTAGATAATACATCATTTAATACTGAGAGCACTACTTCTACATATTACGTTTGATATGAAAAAATACGTATTTCTTTATTTTTATATTTATAKTAAATATTTGTAATTTTCTTTTTTGATAATCGTTTTGCATAGTAGAGTTACTGCATTTATTTGCGGAAACTTAGATATACTCGTATATTACTAGTATGCATATATACTAGTGTATACTTGTATTTTTGTTTTAGACTTTTATGCAATAATCACTAGCCGTGGCAGACGATTACAGCAATTGGTATGTACCCCCATAAGTTTAGAAAACACGCGTTTGAACTAGGGTGTCGGAGGKGYCCCGRGGYATGCTCTCTAGTTTAGGCTTTTGCACCCTGGTGGTATGTGAGAGAATCGTGGAGTGWGHGGGTGGGTATGYATGTATGTTTGCACTTTTTAAATACGGGTAATTGGCGGGCAGGTAGCATACTTTTTTGAGCGAATGTGAAAAATTTAATTTTAAGCAGATAGGGCCCGGAAAAGGCATTAGGTTTGTTTCCACTCCGGAGTGGAAATTCTGCCTCCTGGTTTATACAGAATCGTTACAAAATAATATCATTTCATTCTATTATCCTTGCTTTTGTAAATTTATTTTGYGACTCTTCTGTAATCTTTATTATGTATCACATGATTCAAAGAGRTTTGCAACGATTTGAAAGATTCATTTCTATTTCGATTCTATCTCGAAGGAGATAGAGTCGAACAAATTCGCAAATACTTTGATGAATTTGATACTTAGTTTTAAGTATTATAACTAGCATTTCGCACTATCGCGATTTAGTCTTTGAAATATTTGATATATATAATTTAGTATAAAGAATAAATTGAATAAAAATATTGCAAAAAAATGCACTGCATTTATAGTATTATTTTTATTTCAATTCGATTTTATTATTGCATATTACAAGTGCGAAGTGTTAATAGGTCATCGATTGTAATTATTTGCTTGGACATTTGATTAAATGTTTTCTCGTATATGTGCATGGCCAATTAATTCTAAGATCATTGATGGACCACAAGCTAAGATAGCATACGAGAAATGTAAATTAATTTTTTTATTATTAGTTTGCAAGATGAAAGATCTTATCTCTCTTGCACGTAAAAAATGTCCAATGCAGTTTTCAGGGGATGAAGAAAGAAGAGGCTAAGTGCAGAAGAGGCCCCCACAAATTTGTGGTATCAAGTGGGCAACTACTAGACTATTCAGTTATTTTCAAAGGTTCAACAGCAAGTTCGAACTTTTCGAGAATAGCTCTCTAGTCATATTTTATATTTTATTATATTATATGATTGCTCGTCATTAATTTTTATTTATAATTGGAGATGATGGATCATTCCATCTCCTTGGCACACCAAATTCCTGTGAAGATGCATAAGTTTTTAGCTAGTTAGAGTCAAAATTAATAAAAATCTCGTATTATTAGATTTTGATGCTTAAATAACATTCGTTAAATATTACAGTAATTTCTCATTAAGATTTTTCATTGTCATTGAATTTTGTTGAACTTGCAATTTTTGTATTTTATAATTTAGTTTAAAATTATTTTATAATAATTAATAAATTTTATTTTTATTAGTAACTTAATATTTGAATTTTTCCTATTTCTTAATTAATAGTTTTTATAATATAAAATCACGCGTTTAAATTTTATTTTATTGCAACGTTAAATAGAGATTTGAAAAAAAATAAATAGGGAATTAAATTAAAAAGTGCATCTGCAAATTGAACTATTAATAATGTCAGGCTATTGTTGATTGATTGTATGACTAATATAGTTTTCTTTTTGTTACAAGTGATCATCTTGGGATTGAATTTCAAAACTTTTTGATTTTTTTCTAATTGAGCGCCTTAAATGGCTTCGAAAATATATATTATAATACATGCATTTCTGAAGGCAAACATATAAATATTAAATATGAAATATAATTATTTAAAATTCTCTATAACAAATATATATAACTTTAAATATTTGTAGAGATGTATCAAAGATTTTGAATGTGTTTTTTAATCAATTGTTTAATCAATGAACATATCTGTTTCAGGTCTAAGACTTCAATGAATCTACGTAAGATTTGATTATTATAATAATATTTATGACGCGGACATAGAATATAATTACATACTTTTGTATTTTTATTCTTCTTGTTTGAAAAAAATGAGATAATCGTAAATGTCTTTTTAAAGCCATAAAAAGAATGGGATGATGGTGCATATATATTTCTGAAATCGTAGATAAATATTAGGTCTTCTAATTTTAATTAATAATCTTCTTTTCTAATCTAGGAAAAAATTGTAGAAAAAATACTCCAGGCTAAATAATTCGTAAAATAATTGTTAATTAGAAATATTTAATGTATATTCGCGTTATTCCATAAAAATGATTTCAGAACTAGAATTGCATTATAAAAAGCATGTGATAAATTTAGAGATATTCAATTTGTTTTTAATTTATATTAATTTTATTCTCTTACTCTCTCAATTATTGTGCTAGTAAAAAACATTTTTTTCGATCATTCTTATCAATGACATTGTTGCAATTTTCGTGTCGTGTTTTAAATTGTTTATGCCTGATACACGTTGTTGTTTCGTATCCT